TGTAGCATTTAAAAAAGCATAGTATTACCTTGATACTTTTGGTAGCAAATGAAAGGCTTTTAATGAATCATTTTTTAAATTCACCTCAAAATATTTTCATCAACTCTACTTTATTTAATATATTTTATTTTTACTTTTTTTTTATCCATTTAGTCAATCTCCAGGTCTGGGAAGAGCACTTCTAGTTTATTTATATGAAATAAATCATGACATTACTGTGTGACATTTTTAGAAAAGCATAGTATTACTTTAGGACCTTTGTTAGTTAAATGAAGGCTTTTAATAAATATTTTTTTATTTACCTCAACACATTGTCATAAACCTTATTGTATTTAATATATTTTATTAGACAATTTTTTAATCTATTTAGTGAATCCCCAAATCTAGGGAAAGCACTTTTAGCTAGCTTAAAGGTTTTCATAGTTTTCCTATTTAATGCATTATTCTTCTGTAGATGCATCATATTCATCCATTCATTCATTTTCCTTCAGCTTTAGTCCCTTAATTCATCAGGGATCACCACAGTGGAATGAATCGCCATTCCGCCAACTTATCCAGCATGTTTTACACAGCGGATGCCCTTCCAGCTGAAACCCAGTACAGAGAAACATCCGTACACACTCATTCAAGTTAAAAGTGCTCTTGCCAGATCAGCTGAATGTTTTCAAAATTGGTAAAACTCAACTGTTTAACTCTAGACTCTCAGAAATAAAGGTACACGAGCCATCACTAGGGTGGCACCTTTTCAAAAGGTACACATTTGTACTTAAAGGGTCCATATTGGTACCTCAAAAGTATATATTAGTATCTAAAAAATTTAAGGGAACACGTTTGTACTTTTTAGGTACTTATATGCACCCTTAAGGTATTAATATGGACCTTTTAGGAACAAATTTGTACCTTTTGAAAAGGTACCACCCCAGTGACAGATTAGGTATCTTTATTTCCGAAAGTGTAAATGACGTATAAAATGAGCCTTTTCAATGGATTTAAAGTGACACCAAAAAGATTTGAGAGTTCATCAAAACTAAAGTAAAATAATAAATGTAAGGGAAACATCCCAATAACAAATCCTTATCTAGCATTCGATGCACATTAGCAGGCTTTATAAACACAAAAACAACATCCACATTTTGATTTACAAGAAAACAATGTATATAAACTAGGGCTGTAACGATACACCAAACCCACGATTCGGTTCGTATCACGATTTTTGACCCACGATTCGATTCGTATCACGATTTTTTATTTTATTTTTTTCGTGTGGGGTGGGGAAAAAAAAGATTTTTAAAACTATTTTTAATTAAATAACATTTGAAAAATCTTTATAAACTAAACATCAAAGAACAATATTAACTATGCAAATTATTAACAATATAAATAGCCATATATAAAATAAATAAATAGGCAAAGCTATATCACTTCTGTTATCTTTGTAACAAAATACTGTTGAAAAACCAAACAGAACTAAACTGCATCGTGTAGATGGTTCAAGCATGTTGAAAATAATTTTTCAATCAAGTTCTCTTACATAGAAAAAGTAAATTAAATAGCTACTAGGGATGCTCATTTCGTTAATTTTGCTAACCGACAACCACCGCTCATTAATCGGTTATTAACGGTGAACTGGTCAGATTACTATTAATTTTATATTAAACAAATTGACGTGTCTATTTTGTGTCTGACACATTAAATATTGCATTTTAAAATACTGATTTATTTTTATATGTTAGAATATTAATAGCGGAACAGAACAACAGAGCATCTTCACGCACCTGCAGTGTTTAGCACAGAAGAGCAGAATAATCTAAATAAAATGAATAAAATAAATAGGACTGCCCTAAATTATTTTCACTTAAATAATTAATTTATTTTACAAAACGAAAATACTGACTGATTCTTTTTAATAACCGGCATAGGCTTTTTTCCAATCATATGTTTATTTCTTCCGTCAAATAAAAATCGCAGACTTCCTCAAATTGCTTGCTCCACGGAAAATATGCATTTATTTAATGCCCCGCTGTTATTATTATAATCACAAAACCTTTTACATTTTAATAGAAATCCTTATTTTAAAGATTATGTCCTGATATAGCCTATGGTTTCCTCTCTCTCCCTCGCGGTTCAAGTGCGCGCGCTGCCTGATGAAAAGACAACAACACGCGCGCATATGTAGACTTTTTGTAAACAGTTTGTTTAAATATGATATTGCATTAATCTGCGTACATGCTTTAAGCTGTAAAATAAAAAGTAAAGCCTATTTGTTGCGTTTATTACGCAGATCCAGGTCAACATAAGCGCTGGTTTAGTATCAACAGGTCTGTAGGCTATCAAACAGCAATATTCTTCTTCCATTTTGCTTCTTTAGCAAATGTGTCTGTAGGCACGGGTTATACGTTATCATCCCGCAAATTAAGTATGCCTTGCAGTTAAACAAGTGGCCGAAAACAAGGCGCACCTTACTGCCTTTATGTTGACAAGGAAAAAAGAAGAGGCGCGGTCCTCTTATAAACGACTGAATCAGCTGGGTATCGATTGTGCAAAAGTGTTGCTGTCTGTCTTGTTACAATTGTAATATTTAATACTATTGTTATATTCAAGATTTGTATATTCATACAGCTCTGGATAACTTAAAACAACGATTAGACCTTCAGAGCGGTGTTAATGCGTCCTGAAGTAAAGCGAAACGGCTATAAACTCCAGCAAGATTGAGTGATTATATGCAGAGCCATATACCTTTATCTCTAAATAAAGTAGGCTATAACTATAGAAACTGTGTTTATTTTAACTGAAAGCTTCGTCGTGTTTTCTGACCGCACGCACCTCAGTCAGCACTCCCAAAGGTTCAAACAGAAAGCGCACTGCACGGTTACAGAAAAGTTTGGCTGTTACCTGACATCTGGTGAACGCCTATCCCTCTCTGCGCAGCCACATTAACAGTGTGAGCATCATCGTATATGCGCTGAAAATCCGGCCGCTTTGACAGCATTGGCAATGTTTCTGGCGTTGTCGGTTGTCAAGCGGGGTTAAGTTGGTTTTGTTTTTGATAATCTTGACACATTCAGACGGCCCCTTACTAAGAGCTCCGTGCGAGCTCTCCCGGCTAAATATTGCGAGGGCTTAAACGGAGCAGTGCTTGTAATGTCGAACGAAAAAAAGTGTTAATTAGCTCAACTTTTGCAGGCACGCGTGACGTTATTGGAAAGGTATGACGGGGTGGGTGTGTCGCGATTCTCCCTTATCACACCGCGACACAGGATCGTAGATCTGAGTGTCGCGATTTCGATTTTATATCGTGTATCGTTACAGCCCTAATATAAACAATTATACTGCATTTAGATCAAAGCTGAGAGATTAAAAAAAAATTCTGACTGCTCACTGCAAAACACAATTAGCCCTACACTGCAAATCCATAGACACCTAAAAAAATGATTAGGTCTACAATGACAAATGCCTGGGATTGATTGCAGTCATTGCAAGACATTTACATAACAAATGCTTGCATAAAAAAAAAATCAAGATAAAGAAACCACCAAATGCATGTCAAACAATAAACCATACACGTAAAAAATGTCCAACACCAGTTATATTTGATATAAATATAATATAAACTGCAATATTTGTTGTATTATTTTGCTTTGTTTATTAATTGTAGTTATTTATATTTATTTTTTACATGATTGAAATAAAGTCTATAATTCTCTCCAGCTTATTGCTCACTTCACTACATTTTCAACAAACATTTAACTAACAAATGCAGGCATAAGAAATCAGCTACATCCTATTTCACCTCAATCAAATAAAGCAATAAAAATTGGATCATCACAAACTGCATTAGCAACAGCTCACCTCTTGTAGAGAGTTTGCTGTAGATCTGTGAGTTGACCTCTTTGTCTCGTAGAAAACATCTCACCTCCTCAACGGCTTCCCGTACGATTGTAATAATTAAAACAAAGCCCTTTGGAAAGATAATTAATTAAAATGTGACTTTCATAAACATATTTTCAATAAACATTCATAATAGTTAAATACAGTTAAATCCAAAATTAATAGCCCTCCGGTGATTTTATTTCTTTAAATATTTCCCAAAAGATGTTTAACAGAGCAAGAATTTTTTCATAGTATTTCCTATAATATTTTTTCTTCTGGAGAAGGTCTTAGTTGTTTTATTTTGGATAGAATGAACATTTTTAAAAGCCATTTTAGTCATTATTATTAGCCCCCTTAAGCTATATATATTTTTGTTAACCTAGTTAAGCCTTTAAATGTCACTTTAAGCTGAATACTATAATCTTGAAAAATATCTAGTCAATTATTATGTTCTGTCATGATGATAAAGACAAAATAAATCAGTTATTAGAAATGAGTTATTAAAACTATTCTTACTAGAAATGTGTTGAAAAGATCTCCTTATACTGGTAAACTTGGGGAAATTTGGGAAAAAATATATACGGAGGGCTAATAATCCAGGAGGGCTAATAATTCTGACAATCTTTAACTATATGTATATAATAAAAGAAGTGTGATTTGACTCACCAGAGGAACCCAGTATGTGTACAGAGCCCCTAATCTCAGCTCATTCACAAACTGTGAGCAGGCCAGCAGGAGAAAGTATAGGTTGAAGAAGTATTTGAACTGGTTAAACAACACCTATGGACACACAAAAAAAACATGATGATGAATATAAAAAATTTAATCAATGTATATATACATACACACACACACACATGCATATATATATATATATATATATATATATATATATATATATATATATATATATATATATATATATATATATATATATATATATATATATATATATATATATATATATATATATATATATATATATATATATATATATATATATATATATACACACATACACACATATATATATATATATATATACATATACACAAGCACACACACACACACACACACATATATATATATATATATATATATATATATATACATATATATATATATATATA